AAAGATCAGGAGAACTACAGGGAGAACTACAAAACATTGATGAAAGTATAGATGATACAAACAAATGGAAAAACCTCCCATACTCGTGGATTGGTAGAATCAACATTGTTTAAATGTCCATGCTGCCCAAAATGATTTACAGATTCCAATCGAAATTTCAACATAATTTCTCAGGGATCTAGAAAAAATAACCCTAAACTTCATTGGAACCAAAAAGACCCTGAATAGCCAAAATAATCTTAAGCAAAAAGAACAAAGCTGGAAGCATCACATTATCTGCCTTCAAATTATACTACAAGGCTATAGTAACCAAAACAATGTGGTACTGTTATAAATGTAGATAACATAGACCAATGGAACAGAATACATAACCCAGAAATAAAACCATATAGCAACGACCAACTGATTTTTGAAAAGCAGACAAAAGCATACACTGGGTAAAGGAAGCCCTATTCAATAAATGGTGCTGAGAAAGCTGTATAACCACATGCAGAAGAATAAAACTGGATCCCTACCTTTTACCATATATAAAAATTAACTCAAGATGGATTAAAGACTTAAATGTAAGGAGAGGAGAGGAGAGAAGAGGACGGTTCAAAAACCATAAAAATTCTAGAAGAAAACATAGGAAAAATTCTTCTAGATATTGGCCTAGGCAAAGAATTTATGAGTAAGACTCCAAAAGCAAATATAGTAACAACAAAAATAAATAAATGGTACTTAATTAAATTAAAAAGTTTCTGCACCCAAAAGAAAATATTCAACAGAGTTAATAAACAACCTATAGAATGGGAGAAAATATTTGCTTACAAATTGTACTGCTGACAAAGGGCTAATATCCAGGAAGAAATGGTGAAAAGCAACCTCTTATACCTTGTTGGTGGGAATGTAAACTTATATGACCACTATGACAAGCAATATGGAGATTCTCCAGAGAACTAAAAGTAGATCTACCATTCAATTCAGCAACTCCACTATTGGGTATCTACGCAAAGGAAAAGAAGTCACTTTATAAAAAAGACACCTGTACCCAAATGTTTATCACAGCACAATTAATAATAGCAAAGATATGGAATTAACCTGTGCCCATCAATTAACCAATGAGTTGATAAAGAAAATATGGTACATATATACCATGGAGTACTACTCAGAAATAAAAAGGAATGAAATAATGTCATTTGCAGCAACTTGGATGGAACTGGAGAACATTATCCTAAGTGAAGTATCTCAGGAATGGAAAAACAGATACCACACATTCTCATGTATAAGTGGGAGCAAAATGAAAGATATATATGATCATAAAGAACAGTAATGGACATTGAAAACTAAAAAGGGAGGAGGGTGAGAGAGGGGCTGAGGGATGAAAATCTACCTATCGAGTACAATGTATACTCTTCTGGTGGGGTACACTGAAAGCCTTAACTCCAGCATGACACAATTTGTCCATATAACAAAACACACTTGTACCCCCTAAATTTTTTGAAATTAAGAAAAAGAGAATCTACTAAATCTTAGTAAGAACAGTGAGTCTATGGCACTTGAGCCACAATCCACTTCCTTCCTTTCTCCCCTCCCAGTTTAGCATAACAGAAGCTTCACTTTGGCAACTATGGCCAAGAATACAGGACTTCCTCTCCCTCCGTTTCCAGTTGAGGCCAACTGTATATTCCCAAGAGGTGAAGGCTGCCAGCATTTCTTGTCCTCCCCACCTTCCTCTCCAGAAGCTAAATTCCAGGTCTGTGCATCCAAGAGACTGAGGTCTCTTCTTTCACCCAGCCCCCACATATAGGGTTGAGGCTTTACCTCAGGCATAGAACACTGAGAATATTAGGTCCCCCGATTATTAACAAGACCCTGGTAGTTGCCCCTACTCAGCTCCCTGCTCCTAAATCCCACACCCAGCTCTGGAGCCATGCCTCAGAGATTTTTCCCATGGGAGCACTGAAGCTCTCCCCGAAGGAACTGACTTTATTTGAAACATAATAAAGGGGAGTTCAAGTTTAAAGGTACTCTCAAAAATAATGTAAGTTTTGGTGGAAAGCAATTAAGAGAAAGCTGGTAGCTTCATGAGAGATACAAGCTAAACCATAGGCCAGTTAGTGTACCAGAGAGAGCCCGGAAAAGAAATAGTTAAGAAAAGCCCTCCTGGGTCAGAACAAACCATAAACACTGACCTCAAAAACTACCTCTGCAAAAAGGTTGGGATTTAATTGGATCAGACCATCAAAGCAATTTATGCCCCAGGGCATTGTAAAAAATAATAGAACAATCAGCTAGCAATTAGTGGAGCAAAATAGCTGGATGTATGTTGTTAGCCCTACAGCTAGCTACCACTAAGAAAAAGCTAAAAAAAAATATAGTGAAGGAAAGAAAACAATGTTCTTAACATCATAGTCAAATGACTTCTCCTTTTCAATACTTCATGAGAGGCTCAAAATCCTTCCACATTTTGGTTTTCTTTCTCTTTGGATCATGCTCCTTTCTTTGGTTTTCTTTCTCTCTGGAATCAACAATAGTATATTCATACTCTTAGTTCCCTTGTTTTCAGCTCCACCTCTTACTTCTGTGAGTCCAGAGCCTCCGTGGGATACTACTGGGCAGGCCAGATCACTTCTTAACTATAGTTGGAAGGAGATATATATTCTAAAAGTTAGTGATTAGGAGTAGACCACGTAAGTTCAAATTCTGGCTCTGATTTTTCTACCTGTGTAACCTTGGCCAAGTCACTTGTACCTCAGTCTTTTCATGTAAATAATACCACCTATTTTAAAGATTATGTGTAAAAGTACGATGATTACCATTAGAATTGCTCTCTTATGCTTTAGAAATAGCCTGCTTTCATATGATTTTTGTATTTTATTTGTTTATATCTTTTTTGTTGATGTCTCCCTTCATGTTTCTTTTTTATATTATTTCTTTGCTTAATGAATTATAGTTAATGAGAGAAAATAAACACTATGTTCAGTCCTCCATCTGAAACCAGAAGCCAGACTTGACTTTTAATTTTAGAAAATAGTCAGTGATTTAGTGGTTTTAGTGTTATTTCCTTTTAAATAATTTGTCCTTTTTTTAACTAAATTATCCTCTTCATGCATATATTATCTTTAATGTATTTGCTTAGTGGTCTAATCACCTAGACTTAAATTAAACAGGAACTTTGCTTCTTTCAATAGGTTCTTTGTGATGGTAGCAAAACTTCTAACGCTGGTCAGAATTTAAGTCTCGTTAAAGCATTGGAAGCAAAATACAAAGAAATACTAGAATATTGGAGAAAGCACTAGTGTTCCTTTTGTGTTATATCAAGGTGAAAGTTGACAGTTTTATTACATTTTTTGAAAGACTGAAGAAGGAACCAGAAAATAATAATGATAACGATCGTGATGATAGCAGCCACAATTCCCAAACTACCTAAATGTATACTAGACACCTAATACATATCATATCATGTCATACCTGTATGTCTAATCATTTTACTTATTCTTAACAGTAGCTCTTAAGTAAGCATTTTCTTCCACATTTTACATATGAGGAAACCAAGATTGAGAGTGGGTAAGTAATTTGCCCATGGTCACACACCCAGTAATTGATAGAGCTATCTGACATAAAGGCCTGTGTTATATGACTGTACAACCAATCTGGATTTAGGAACAACCTGTCTTAATCAATGTTTTTTACTGCATCTCTGGTGTCTTTATTTTCCTTTTGCTGAAGCTCCTGTTTCTGCTATCATGGAGGTCACTGCAACTGACCATAGTATGCGCTACTTGCTTATCCCATTTCCTTAAAACACTTGTTTCCAAATTTCTTATTGAAACCCTCTGCCCTTTTCAAGGCCCATCCCCAAGCAAGCCCAGCTGGTGATTCCTCTAATCTCCCGTAGTGAAAGCAAGGGCATGTCTGTCTGTATCATGCAACTCAAGTAGAGTTTTGTTTTTGTTTTTGTTTGCAATAATAGGCACTCAATAACTCTTTGAAGAATGAATAAGTGGTGGTAAAGTAAAATGGACTTAGTTCCCTGATGTAGAAGACAAAAGAGAGATTATTGCTTAGGCAGAGAAGTTTACCAAGTAGAAAATATAAGGTATTTTCCTATAGTAATAATTTTAGAAATGGCAGTTAGGTTCTACAATTCTATTCATATCACCAAAAGAGCAGTCCAACGAACTTTCAAGTTATGTAGTGTATGTGGGTTAATCTGGGAGACTAACCACCATTTAGGAAATGCTTCTATAAGAAAATGTTTTCTGAAGGGCAAATCAAGTTTATTAATGAATTTTGAGAAAACAAACTATACACAAATTGAGGTTAACTTGTAAGGCCATTAATTTGTTGGTTATTTTTGCTTGTATCTTTTCATTGATTTATAAAATTATAAAGAACATGAGGTCAGAAATTATGTTTTCTATTACGCAATACTACCACCATTTCTAAGTCTTTATTCTTCTAGCTGCTCCCACCCCAATCCAGCATTTACCACGGTACCTTATACATAATAGGTAATCAAAGAATTTGTGTATTGATTCTTTGATTTTTAACAGGGCTACCACTCATCACAAAAAGTATTATATCCATACATACCTCGGGTTTGCATTTCAATCTAGCTTTAATTTTGAATTGTATAGCCAAATTATAAAAGAACTTTCAAATTAAATATCTCCTTTAATTTTAATTGATATGATTATACAGTATTAACTCAAGTAGATAAATATTATAACAATAAGATTTGGATGTTTATCATTTTTCTACTTACAATTTAAGGGCAAATGGTTATCGTAAGGACCATTCATTCTAGGAAGCACTATAGAGTGGTCTAGGAACATAGCAATATATCTGTCTTGATTTTTGGAAATGGTCTGTTGTAGAGTAGTTTAGGAAGAACTAACTACTTGTCTGTCAGATGAAGGAATAGTGTGACTGGGGAAGAAGCCACTGTACATTTGTTTTGAGTATAGTGACAAAAAGCTAGGTATTTCACAAAAGATACTATTTTGCCTTTTCAGGTGTAACTGTGTGGAACCACATAATCCCAGCAATGACACATTGAAGGAATGGAAGGAGTCCAATATTTCTGCCTCTGACATAATTTGGGAGAATCTAACTGTGTCAGTAAGTAAAACATTGAAAAATAAGTCATATTTTGAGTCATTATTGTAAGGGCTTTTTACATTCACATTTTGAATCAATTACTGCCACTAAGGTAAAATCTTTTTGAATGCATAATATTATAAAAGTGATAGATTTGTTTTAATTTGAATTTAATTCGTTTCAGATATTCATCAGTATATTGGGGTTATCTTTCATTGTTAAATTAAAATGCTTCTAATAGTTAGTAGGCCTGAATTGCTCTAAAAGTCCACATATACAGACTGGTATGACTGAAATGAACTAAAAGCACATTAAATGCAAGTTGACCTAAATGAAACCATATGGCAGAACTAAGTCTGCCTTATGTGTAAAGAACCCAGAACGCTTTTACTTTACTCTGTAATACTGCTCCAGCTGTTCACAATATGCTGAGGGGGAGGGGATGTTTTTAATATTTTAGTGTAAATACTAAAGGCTTTGGGAAGAACAAAAGTCACTTTTCTTAACAAAATTCTAGCACCTCACTCAATAAGATCTTTCTCATTTCCATTGTCTTCCACTCAATAAAGGGGATGGCAACATATTTTTTACCTATAACAATTAAATCCTGTACCTTTGTTTTGTTTTCTTTGGCTTTTCTCTGCTTTGTGATTTCTTTTTTATTCATAGCTGCATTTCTCAATTTTTCTTAATCTAGTATTATGATATTTGTTCTTTTCCTATATATATTTGTATCCTTTACTTCTGTTCAACAAAATCTTATAATTTGAAAAGGTGTTCTGTTTTTAATAAATATTAAAACCAGAGTAGCCCTAGTTTCTTTCTGTTCTTCCCTGTTACAAATATTACAATCCAAAACTTCTGCCACTTTATCTACCTCTATAAGCTCAAATTTTAACCATCAGCAAAAAACTATGTGAATTCTAGTTCATTTGATCAAACACATACCATTTCTGTAAGTGGTCCAGTTAGTGGAACATGGAAATTTTTTTTGTTGTTGTACAGATATTATAAAACTCTAAACATGATTCTTACAAGAGCATATAACCTATTGCCTATTTTCTCAATTTCTCCATTGAACATGTTCTTTCAAAACTGAAATCAAATACTTACTCTGTTTAAAATTCTATCTTGACCTATATTTTGCTACCTTTATTCTTATCCTAGTCATTTTCTCTTAATAAGACTTCACTTACTCTTGTTTTCTTTTGTTATTGTTAACATTTATTCTGTTCCATCTATTTTTCCCTAGAAAAATAACATTGCCAGGCTGCTTCCACTCAGAGAGCCATTTAAATTGAACAACAAAAGAAATGATGAGCTGATCAAAAAAGAATGCTATTGTCATTCAAAATTTAGACATAGGATCATGGTGGATTCATTCAGTAGTGGGTCTTCTACCTATATTCCCCCTTTTAAACTATATTATGTCTAAAGTGTCCCTTGCTTGTGTCCCTTGTCTTGATGTCCCCTTAAAACCCAAATAATCCCGTCTCTAAATTATTTAACATGATTATTTACTCTATGTGTTTTAGATTTTCTGATAGTTTAATATTAAATATAATATTCATTCT